TATTTTGTGCCACGTTCAGCGGGTCCGCTCTCCGTCTCATCTGGCAGGCATCTTTCCTTCTTTGGCTAGTCGCTGCACGTTCTCATTCATGATCGACATTTCGCGTCTAGCGAATTTCGATAGTTGATGTTGTGGGTGTGGTGGGGACACGATGTCTAGTTCAAACACTGGGCTCGTACGCAGAGAACTGCTTCTACGGCACCCTTCATGAGACTTGCGATGCAACTATACATTGCACCTACATAACGCGAAACTTGATTACTATTACTGCTACCTAGCTGTGACTAAATATCCAAGAAGGCGATGCATGTGCGCACTGAGTGTAAAAGCGGCGAGTTGTTATTTCTAAATTTCTGAGTGTAGAACCTGCTATTTTTTTAAATTAAAATAATAACCAGCTAAAAGACAAGAAAACCATGGTGTCGACACATTTACCATGATTCACGCTGACAATGAAATCCAGTATCGTTGCATGGATACGATTACTGAAATCCAACTGCGAGGCAAATAAATGCAGAGATTGTCACATAAATGAAAGAGAGTCCATTCAACAATTAGGCAAACAGCTTGTGAACGACTGTGCCGAGCCAAGTGCATGCATGGTGGATTGCCTGATGAATAATTGCCCCACAGTCGTTCCTCTATCTGTGGGTTCAACAAACCAGCGTAGCATTTGAATGGCGTTGGCATGGATGACTGCTGGCGGTTGTTTGCCTACAGAACACGGCTCTTTCAAGATCAGTGACCGCTCCTTGAATCGAGGAGATCCGATGTACGGGCGTCAAATCGCTTTACCATTGACTCATTCCTCAATTTACTCATCACGCCTCAACTCAAACAAACCGCCGACATGGCACCCAACTTCGATCAACGGGTCTACTCGCACGATGCCCACCCGCCATCCACCTTGTGGACCAAAGATGAATATACCAAAGTCTGGGAACACTTCCTCGACAAGTTTGCCGCCATTCAGAGTCGCTTTCCTGCTCCGATCGATCGTTTCGAAGAGGAAGGTAGAGCCAAGATGCAGAAGATCGTGATGCGGATGATCGAGCGTCGCGCTCCAATCACGCTCGTTCTGCCGGCGTTCCCATTCAA